TTGTGCACCGGCACGGTTTTCTAGACCCCTTGGACCCTATACCCGAAAATGGTCAAATTGAGATTATGTTCCTAATAGTATGTTCCTGGTCCTAGCTGAATTCCATTTCAATCTTAATTAAACTTTGTGTGAATTCTCTCTCTGGCATCCCCTGTTTGTGCATGTTTTCAAGCATTGTGCATTGGCACGGTTTCTAGATCCTCTTGGGCCTTATACCGAAAAATGTTAAAGTTGAGATTTTGTTCAAATTGTATGTTCCTGGTCCTGGCTCGGGGTGGATTCCTATTTCAATCTTAATTAAATTCGGTATGAATACTCTATGATGCACTCCCGGGTCGAGCAACTTTCAAAAAGTGTGCACCGGGACGTTTTTTAGACCGCATGGGACCATATACCTGAAAATTGTCTAAATTGAGATTTTTGATCAAATGATATGTTCCTTGTCCTGGCTCGGGGTGAATTCCTATTTCAATCTAAATTTAAATCGATGAGAATACTCTTTTTGGCATGCCCTGTTTGTGTTACTTTCACAAGCTGTGCACCGGCACGGTTTCTAGACACCCTGGTACCCTTATACCCGAAAGTTGTCAAAATTGAGACTTTGTTCAAATGATATGTTCCTGGTCCTGGGTTGGGGTGTATTCCTACCTCAATCTTAATTAAACTCGGTGTAAATACTCTGTGTTGCCCCCCCCCCCTCCCTGTTCGTACAACTGTTAAAAAAGTGTGCACAGGCACGGTGTTTTGACCCTCTGGGAACCTATACCCGAAAATTGTCAAAATTTAGATTTTGTTCAAGTTGTATGTCTCGAACCTGGCTCGGGGTGAATTCATATTTCAATCTTCTAAACATTAAATGTGAACACTCTCTGTGGCAACCCCCTGTTCCATCATCTTTTCAAAAAATGTGCACCAGCACGGTTTCTAGACCATCTTGGACCCTTTACCCGAAAATGATCAAATTGAGATTTTGTTCAAATTGTATGTCCCTGGTCCTGACTCGGGGTGAATTCCTATTTCAATATTAATTAAACTCGTTGTGAATACTCTCTGTTGCACATCGGAGCCAAGAAGAATGATCTATATCAGTTGAAATGACTCGTTTTATAATTGTTGTAAAATAAATAAAGTTTGCAATTGTGAATATAGTTTTGGGGGTGGGGATCTCATCCGTTTCATAGCTATGACCCAGTGGTAAGGACCCGGGTGCCATCCTGAAAGTAAATGTGCGTTCGTCTCTTAATATTCAACAATTACATACATGTGTATAGGGTGGAGATATCCACTGTCTCCAAGTTGTGACTCAGAAACTAGGTCTTTAGGGATTGTGGCAAGACCCTAGGGTTAATGTTAATATAATGAGTGTGTTGGTCTCGTTATGCCCATCAATTGCATATTTAGTTTTGGGGTGTGTATCTCAACCGTTTCAAAGTTATGATCCAAGGGTTTGGCCAGACTCCAGGACCATCCTGGAAGCAAACGTGCATTTATCTTTGTATGCTCAGCAATTGTATATATGGTTATAGGGTGGGGTTCTCAATCATTTCCAAATGATAAACATGTTTGGCCCCACCCCGGTGTGGTCAGCTTGTCCATTTGTACACTTAGTAATCCCCACCACCTAGGGATGCTTCCAGCAAAATATAGTTAATCCCCATGGCTTAGTTCTAGAGAAGAAGTCGCAAAAAGCAATATAGCTAAATAACCTATTTTAGCACCGCCCGTCAGCCCCCTCGGGTGTCAACCCCATCATTTGTGCAATTTTAAATCCCCATTACCTAGAGATGCTATTGATCAAATATGTTTGATATGCATCTCTTACATGTAGTTCCAGGGGAAAAGTCGTTAAAAGCAATGAATCAAAATAACCATTTTGTCCCCCCCCCCCCTCCCCTCAAATTGTATGTTCCTGGTCCTGGCTCGGGGTGAGTTCCTATTTCAATCTGAATTAAACTAGCTGGAATAATATCTGTGGGCATCCCCTTTTCGTGCAACTTTTCAGAAATTGTGCACCGCCACGGTTTCTAGAAACTCTTGGACCCTATACTCGAATCTATCAAATTGATATTTTTATCAAATTGTATGTCCCTGGTACTGGCTCCGGCAGAATTCCTATTTCAATCTTAAATAAACTCGTTATGAATAATCTCTTTGGCATCCCCTGTTCGTGCAACTTTTAAAACATTGTGCATCGGCACAGTTTATAGACCCACTGGGACCCTATGCCCGAAAATTGTCAAAATTGAGATTTTGTTCAGATTGTATGTTCCTGGTCCTGACTCAGGGTGAATTCCTGTTTCAATTTTAATTTAACTTGGTGTGAATACTCAATTTGGCATCTCCTGTTCGTGCAACTGTTAAAGCATTGTGCATCGGCACTGTTTATAGACCACATGGGACCCTATGCCCGAAAATGCTCAAAAATGAGATTTTGTTCAAATTATATGTTCCTGGTCTTTTCTCGGAGTGAAATCCTTTTCAATCTTAATTAAACTCAATGTGAATACTCTCTGTGGCGCCCCCTGTTCGTTCAATTGTTCAAAAATTGTGCACAGGCACGATTTTCTAGACCCCTTGGACCCTATACCCGAAAATGGTCAAATTGAGATTTTGTTCCTAATAGTATGTTCCTGGTCCTAGCTGAATGCTGAATTCCATTTCAATCTTAATTAAACTTTGTGTGGATTCTCTCTCTGGCATCCCCTGTTCGTGCAACCTTTCAAGCATTGTGCATCGGCACGGTTTCTAGATCCTCTTGGGCCTTATACCGACAAATGTCAAAGTTGAGATTTTGTTCAAATTGTATGTTCCTGGTACTGGCTCGGGGTGGATTCCTATTTCAATCTTAATTAAATTCGGTATGAATACTCTCTGATGCACTCCCTGTTCGAGCAACTTTTTTAAATTTAGTGCACCGGCACGGTTTCTATATCCAAAAATGGTCAAATTTAGATTTTGTTCAAGTTGTATGTCCCTGGTCCTGGCTCGGGGTGGATTCCTATTTCAATCTTAATTTAATTCGGTGTGTATACTCTATGATGCACTCCCGGGTCGAGCAACCTTCAAAAAGTGTGGACCGGAACGTTTTCTAGACCACCTGGGACCCTTATACCCGAAAATTGTCAAAATTGAGATTTTGTTCAAATGATATGTTCCTGGTCCTGGGTTGGGGACCGTATGTCTCGAACCTGGCTCGGGGTGAATTCCTATTTCAATCTTCTAAACATTTAATGTGAACACTCTCTGTGGCAACCACCTGTTCCAGCATCTTCTCAAAAATTGTGCACCAGCACGGTTTCTAGACCCTCTTGGACCCTTTATCCGAAAATGATCAAATTTAAATTTAGATTTTGTTCAAATTGAATGTTCCTGGTCCTTACTCGGGGTGAATTCCTATTTCAATATTAATTAAACTCGTTGTGAATACTCTCTGTTACACATCTGGGCCAAGAAGAATTATTTATATCAGTTGAAATCACTCGTTTTATAATTGTTGTAAAATAAATAAAGTTTGCAATTGTAAATATAGTTTTGGGGATGGGGATCTCATCCGTTTCATAGCTATGACCCAGTGGTAAGGACCCGGGTGCCATCCTGAAAGTAAATGTGCGTTCGTCTCTTAATATTCAACAATTGCATACATGTTTATAGGGTGGAGATATCCACTGTCTCCAAGTTGTGACTCAGAAACTAGGTCTTTAGGGATTGTGGCAAGACCCTAGGGTAAATGTTAATATAATGAGTGTGTTGGTCTCTTTATGCCCATCAATTGCATATTTAGTTTTGGGGTGTGTATCTCAACCGTTTCAAAGTTATGACCCAAGGGTTTGGTCAGACTCCAGGACCATCCTGGAAGCAAACGTGCATTTATCTGTGTATACTCAGCAATTGTATATATATATTGTTATAGGGTGGGGTTCTCAATCATTTCCAAGTGATAATCATGTTTGACCCCACCCCGGTGTGGTCAGCTTGTCCATTTGTACACTTCGTAATCCCTACCACCTAGGATGCTTCCAGTAAAACATAGTTAATCCCCATGGCTTAGTTCTAGAGAAGAAGTCGTTGAAAGCAAATAACCTATTTTAGCCCCGCCCGTCAGCCCCATCGGGTGTCAACCCCATCATTTGTGCAATTTTAAATCCCCATTACCTAGATATGCTACTGGTCAAATATGTTTGATATGCATCTCTTACGTGTAGTTCCAGGAAAAAGTCGCTAAAAGCAATGAATCCAAATAACCATTTTGTCCCCCCCCCCCACACACACCTACCATCAGTCCTCTGGGGGGTCAGGCCCACCAATTGTACATTTTTAATCCAAACCACCTAGATATGCTTCCAACCAAATATGATTGATATCTAGCGCACGGTTCTACATAAAAAGGTCGTTTAAAGCAATATCGCCAAATTGCCCCCTTTATATTTCAGTCAAATTTAGTTAAATTCCAATCAGTGGTTGCATCGAAAAGGTTGTTTGAAAAAAACATTGACGTACGGACGAGGGTCGAAAGACGACGGGCGGCCGGATGACGGACGCGACGGTTGGGCATAACAAGCAAATACATTTTCCATTTTAACTATCGGTATGTTAATAGAACATATAGAACAGTCAATCAATAAACTGATCCATATTCAACATACAACTGTCAACTGTGGCATTAGTTATACAAATAAGAGGCCATATAGCGCTATCTGTCTAGCTATAACATTTTTTAACAAACGACTCAACGCACCTGCCTATGTTATCGACGTGGAAATATTAAATAACTTTGAATATAGTGTGATGGCTTTGATATTGATGTGCTTCAGTCCCGTCAAATGAATGGATTTGTGCTTTCATGTAGCTTTTTTCAAACAATTTATCCAAATTTAATGAAGTTGAACATTTAAATTAAAAGACCAAAACGTAATATTACTAGCGTTTAAATCCTACACCCGTCTCCTTTCCTGTACATTATACCCATTCCGAGCAAAATCCAACACATGCTATGTTCTGCCTTTTTTATTTTTAATAGTACTATTTATTCACAAACATTGTACTTCCTATTGTCATCCCGGTCTTTATTTTATTCATGGGGTTGCAGTTTATGGCCTTGCAATGTTCACCTTTCTGTAAGTTTCTGTTATAAACACTTTCTGGGTATACATTCCTTAGAGCATACCAAGCATATACGTTATGCTTTTTTTTATAATTTAGTGGAAAATATCGTCTGTAAAAACACCGCTCGTGTATTTTGGAGAATACAATTCGGAATCCTCAGCCACTTAGAAAGTCGTCCATTTTTTACTTGTTCGAAATTTGGCATTAACATGCATGCTGCACACTGCCACTTCTGACTATCATGCAAACACTATTCTCTATAAGAACCGAAACAAATAAGAGGTATGCATTCATTAAATGCTGGGAAAACTGCATGTTTCAAAATAACATTACTATCGCTTTGTCATACCCGTTTTTGTATAAAAGCAGGACCCAGTTACCTCAATATATGTATTGTAATATATTTGTATGAAAAATATGAACGATGAAAAGCAATACCATGGGTAAAATTGAAATCACCTAGGTGCCAAGATATAATCGGAGAGAGATTTAACGTCCATGTCACATTCCGTCATGGCTAACATAAGCTTCTTTACGGTAGCCTCTTCCCCATCGTCTTGGATCCATTTCGCCAACAGCGCCTGTATTCTGTCTCCAACTTTCCCATGGTTAACATCAATTATGTCGATTGCTTTGTAATCCATGCCAAGCTCAATGAAGAGGTTGAAGTAGGATTTCGCACCGATATAATCGGCAACTACATCCTGGAATAGAGTTGATATTGGTCTGTGTAATACTTCAGCGGGTAAGTCCAGACCTATGAGATAGAAACATGATACCATTTTAAGTAATATATCAACATAACTGTGTGTTGCATATTGATAGATACAGCGTTGCAGGATTGGGAAAAAATATGCCTGCTTTGCCCCTTTGCATTTCTTGTGGAAGCGACTGATGTGGGATCCAATACATAGTCGTTTGTTTTATTTTCGATAGGAGGGCACGGGAACGACCAACATTCGTATGACAACTTTTTTAAGTTGATCCAGGCGTTTAGTTCTAGTTAAAGTGTTTATTTGAACCAGCATGGTCTATCTACCTGAGTGTGGTTGTGTTGCGTTTCATTGGTAAAGGTATATTCCTAGGGTTGTAGAAATTACATGTAGAAGTCACCCGATGACCTAGAGATTTAAAAAATAAAAAATCCTGGGTAATTGTGTTCGAGAACATAGATTTATTTTCCCTTTGTTGTGAAGACATTATACCTCAAACAAACAAAATACTAATTCATGTACGAAGTTTGTTCATGCTATACAAATAATTTATCATAACCTAATGCTGTTTTCTATAGTGTATTTTACAGCATATCAGAATATGGCTGCAAGTAAAAACTGCATACCGTACTACCAAACTGAAGGTTGCGTTAATGTGACAATATTATTACAAATAGACAACAGATACATACCTTTGCACTCATCTACGCGATTTGAGTCCAAAATAGTCATGAGAGCTGTATACGGCATGTTATGCTTCTGCATTGCGTCCATGATTTCAGCGAAGCCTATCCCATGTTGGGTATTCCAAACATGCAAAAGCATCTTCGTAGCTCTTGTTCGAAATGAGGCGTTGCGAGTCTCTTCCATGATTTGTTCTAATATATGTATAGGGAGGTGAAGCTCTGTGAAAAACATTTGATATCCTTTTCCACTTATCAGTTTCGCAATCCGTCCAGTCTCCTTCATCGAAGGTATCCTGTCAGGTAATGATTCCATGAGGCTATCGGCTATATTAATTCGAAAAAAAAAGAAGTTAAAAATCCTATGTCAAATAATGAAAGTTTTTTACTGATTCGCAATGCACGGTGTGTGTGTGTGTGTGTCTGTCTGTCTCTCTCTCTGTCTCTCTGTCTCTCTCTCTCTCTCTGATCGTTTTATAACTGTTTAATTTGAAGCAAAACTTCACAACATCTGTAACAATTGTTTCTCAAATTTAAAAAAGAAAAGTACTTACCAATGTGAGGTTGTCGTTTCCTACGCTGTTAAAAAGATAAAGCTGTTACTTTAATGAAGTTTTGATAATCATTTATATATATATAACAAATGACAAGAGCTTTTAGTTCTTTTCTAGCGTGTTCACCTCTATACGTGTTCATCAGGGGAACTGCTTATTTATTGTGACAGGATAACAGGATAACAGGATAACAGGATAACAACACAACACCGAAAGTGATGACGTCATGATATATTATGACGTCACACTACAACCTACCAAAATTGACGCCAACATGAACAATGAACTTTAACGTCTGCACTTCAGGAACAACACAGAGGGTTTTCCAAAATTGATACATGTACATAGTTACAGGCATGAGTTTGTTACATGCATTTTATTTATTTATTCATGCAACGACCTGTACCGTTAGAACATTTTAAACCAGGTTTTAATATATCGATTAACATTGATTATTTTAACTGTCGTTGTCCAATGTCTTTTGTAGCTTGCTATATAGGAATTACATGGAACTTATCATTTGCATGAGAATGTTTATGCGTATTAACATTTAAACATCGAAGATGGTATATTTTTGTATGTTGTCTGTGGAGTGTAATACGTTGCCGTAATTCACACCCAGTTTGTTCAATGTAACATTCAGAACAATTTGCACAGATCAATAGACAATACCAATATAAGATGGTTACATTTTGTCTGTTGTCCCTTTGTCTCTAGTTTCTAGTGTCTGTAACTATATAGTGTATCTATTTGTGTAACACCAACTTTTTTCTTCCCCAAATGTTGACTTTAAAGTCCATTGTTAATTTCGGCGTCAATTTTGATAGGTTATAATGTGATGTCATAATGTATCATGACGTCATCACTTTCTGTGTTTTGTTGTTGTCCTGTCAAAATGAATAAACAGGTCCCATGATGAACCCCTAAAGAGATGAAAGCGTTAGGGAGATACCAAACAACTCTTTTCATTTGTTTTTTATAATTAACAATCACAAAGATTTTGAATGTTGTTGTTTTTTGATTGTATATATATATATATGAATTCCAAATTGACTATTTAATTGTATCTTTGAATCATGCTTATATCACCCTATGAATTAAAATGTACATTATTACATTATTGTTACTTACCGTTCCGGTATTTAAAAACCAAAAGCTGTAGTCATCAATCGAAATCCATCCCCTGCCACCTAGTCCATAGCATGGCAGACTTGATCCTATGAGAATATCCTCTACTTTCACCATCTTGTCATTGTTTGTAAACCGGAGGTCATTATGGAGGCAAAAATAATATTTTAGATGGGCTTGCCGATTCATCTCAAGAATGTTTCGGAGAAGAAAATCGAGAATGTTTCTGATTTGTATTCCACTTCCTTGAACCATGCTCTGATTTCTGTCTCGTTTGTACATTGTGACTTTCATGGTGTTACCATTACAATTGAGGATCATGTTCCACAAGTAGTCAACAGCAAGACAGACAAACCGTCGACGTACGAATATGGTCTGATCATGCCCTGGCTCCTCAATGCAGTGGAATCGGTGAATACAGGTGGCGACTAACTTGTCCCATATAGCGTATGGGATGAACTCCTTTTCAAATTTGAAGCAAAGCACGGGAGACTTTACTATGTCGGGTTCCGCTAACATTTGTTGCAATAATTCAGGGACCGATTCCAACAACATACACGGGACTATATAGTAGTCAACACTTATGTCATCCGATATTGGCTTAGCTAGAAGACCAAGCGTTTCCATCGCTAGTTTGGTTATTTCCTCGTTCTTACTAAAACACTGAGACATTCCATTGTTCCATATCGCATGCAAGTCACGGAAGGGCAACTTTCCAGATTTGGCAAAAGCAACCCATCTCTGCCGCTCTCTGAAACCAGATGTAAATTTTGGATCTGTGATGATGCATTTCAATGCGTCTAGGATGAAGTTTGGATTAAGAATAATCATTGGATTGTGATTCAAAGTTACAACGATCATCGACCCGGTCATCTGTAGTTTCCTGAAGAGATAGAGAAAAAACAGGATGTGCAAAAAGATTAAAAACATGACAATTACATTTCTCTGTGTCATCTGAGACATCACATAAATATATCAATATTATATATGTTGACTTTCTCAAATGTATATCATGTTAAGAATTATAAGACTTTATTTAACTGTATTAATAAGTTGAATGATACAGTCTATGGTAATATAGGCATCATACACTATAAATGGTTTCAACTAAATATATTCAAATGTAACAAACACGATAAAGTGTTTTCTAAAAGATAAGAGACACTTTTGTATACGAACATTTATGAAATGTTCTGGTTAGGTGTCCGAAAGCTTGCAAGTATTCCCATACCTGGTACCGAGATATTTTAAACGTATAATGTTTTCCAATATCATAACGATGCCGTAAATATAGTCACATTTTGCTTCATTGGATGAGCAGAATTTCTGTAGGCAGCAGACCCAGATTGAGTCTGAGATACGCAGGAAAATTGAATAGCAAGTATTCCCATCATTTACCGTTTTGAATAAGGTTTAAAAATTATCTATCATATAAACATACTTTAAAAAGTATCGGACATCTTCTTCATCAGGAAGAGGAACTAAAAGCGTTCTGTTCAATTCCTTCAGCTCTTGGTATGTCAAGACATGCACGCCTTCTCCTTTCCTTTTGAGGAGCTCTTGTTCCATTGCAATCCACCTGGCTGGAACTAATTTCATCCATTCAGATTGAAGGGGAGCCACATCGAATATTTTCCGCCATATTTTCTCGTAGAGGTCCTTTTGTTGTGATGAATCGTTCAAGTTTGATATTGGAAACATTTCTTGAACATGATTTTCCATTATTTGCCTTATTCTGCAATTTTGATATAATTTATCCAGAATAGATCCAAATACTTCGAGTTTCTCCTCTTCCTGTAAGCAACACAAAATTAAGATATATGAAAACGGTAAAAAGCAAGTTTGGTTCAATTATGTTTGTCCTAGTGCATTACATAAATAAATCGCACTTATAATGCAGACCCATATACACGTTCGCTGTTCCACTTTTTGCGTATCGTTTTCGGAGCAAATCTGTACCGTTTGCGAAGCACTTGTGTATCAACTGTGTAGCGTTTGCGTAGCGCTTTCGTAACATTTCTGTAGCATTTCTGTATTGTTTCCGTAATACTTGAGTCAACATCTCTCCATTCAAAAGGCGTTTGTGAAACGTTCGGCTAACCATGTTATGGAATATATATTAGTCGTAATAAATTGCATTACGTGAAAATTATGCCAATCATCATAACAGTCTGAAAAAGAAAACAAAAATGTCGGTTTTTAAATGTGATATTGTGAATTACATATACATTGACATTAACAATCGTCCTCCCATGGACCTACTGTGTGTTCCCCACACCAGCAGCGAAGAGATAATTTAAATAACAATCATACAGCTGGTCATGTGGTAATGATTGTTTTTAAATCAGAGGAAACCTCGAGTTGTTATCAAACAGTTAAACATTTTTTTGTAGTGGCAGTTGTAAAGGTTGTTAGGGCATCATGACCTTCCGCTCACATATATTTTTCTTTTCAATATGATATATATACCTGATTATACAGGCATTGATGACACATTGACCATATACCTGTGGTCACATTGGATTATGATGGGCTGTCGCTGATCAAGGTCACATTGTGTGATTTAAAGGCAGTTCATTCCATGTCAATCAATCCAGTTCATTGTCTGTCCACCAGGTACATATGTATACAGGTAAAACAGTACAAAGTAAAAATCCACAGGTAAGATACTTTGGCGGTCCCTAGGTCAGAAAATAACAGTCCAAGCGACATTTTATTTCACAACAGTGCCTTTACCAAGGTAAACTAATAATTTGCTTGGAATGTCTTTTTCTTATTATTATTTTCGCAATAAAATGTATATATTGTTCTTATTTAGGAAAGCTGAATTATCAAAAGTGTTTTTTTTTAAGATTTATTTATTATGAGTTATGTTAACAGCGTGGAAGGTTAGATATCAACCTTTGGTAGCAGAGTACAGTAGAAATGGCTTGATCCTAAAAATAAAGGGCATGTCTCAGATAAATATGGATAGCGTATTTATCCTGCACAACACACCTACATATATATATATACATTTACAAACTACGTTTTGAATACATTTTTTTTTAAAGAATACTTTATTCAAAAAGTGATTTCCCCAAATTTGGGACTTGTGTAAAACCATGGTTACCATCAAAACACGCCAAAAAAATGCAAAAACATATGTCAAAAATTTGACCCACGCAAGTAGCAATATTGTTCTTAAAACCTGTCTTAAATTGAATATCACCTACTCGGTGACAGAAATACTCAGGTCGTTCAACTGGATTTTTCACAATATGTACACATGTTCTGAGTACAAAAATAGACTACATGAACATCTAGCTTTTGTGGTGTAGACACAGATTTGTAAATGGCCAAAAATGTACTCTCAAAACAAATTCGATTTTTTTTTAAATTTGAAGCCCACCTTGTCCACTTCATCATGTATATGCCAATTTTTAGTGCTGATTTTTTTTTTTTTAAACTTTGATACATGTAATATTACAAAGGTTATTCATTCTACAAAAATATCACCCATGGCCATCGTACTCTACTGTGCACTGCTACCTTAATACGTAACCAACTTCTAAATATCAGATTGTTGAAAATGAGGATATTGTTTTAGTAATCAATACAAAAATAATGTTTTATTTTTTTTTATTTTTATCATGTGATATCCTACGGATCGGTATTGTACACATTGGTTATATCTGATTTCCTGTGAAAATAGTGGGCTGCCCTTTATCTGTAGAACGTTTGCTAACGGAGTGCCCTTTCTGTGTGTGGTAATTATAATGGTGTAACATTTCAGTCAAGCGTATCTGGTCTTGTGTACCACTTAACTTACATGGTTCAATGAAAAAGATAATTGACCTATTTCAGCTGACCAATTAGTACAATGAACACCCTTAGCAATTTATACTGTGGACATTATCAGAGATTGGTATTTACCTGGTGATGAGGTTACGTACATGTGTGGCAAAAGATGAAATGTTTTAGCACTTACACGTACATGTGCAGAATTATTGATGTAGTTTTGCCCCTCAGTCTAATTGTCGCGTTGTCTATAAAAAGTCTGACAGCGGTCACAGACGTATTCTTTTAAGCCCAATGCACCGATGGTGTATTTTCAGTAGCTCAGATGACACTTTTTACATACACTTTTTACATTACCCTAGACTGCAATATCATTGTACCACCCTTTTTGGCGTATTGATTTTAGTCTAGATCCGACGTGATATCATTTATCAAGACATTAGAAAAAGGTAACACGGACACGGGCTTTCTGAGTGTGGGGTACCATACCCAATCACCAGTTTCACGAATATTCCTTAATTTAATGAGCAATTTCAAATACAGTTAGAGATACGGCTAAGTATCAACTGTTTTGGGTACGAACGGTGACGAGACGCTATACGACCGCAGGACGAACTAAGTACGAACGCGAACTTACCGATAGGACCTGTTGCGCCGATTGGGCCTAGCGCTGCTAGAGCGGCCACTTCCGAATGGATCAAGCTTATCGGCTTTAACCGACCGATACACTGATACCTGGCCGCTATCGACAGATAAAATGATACCTTGCCGCTATCGACAGATAAACTGATACCTTGTCGCTACCGACCGATAAACTGATACCTGGCCGCTACCGAAAAACTGATACCTGGTCAATAGCTACGGAATATACAGCCGCTATCATAGGACAGGACTAGTGGTATTCGTCTGTCGAATAACTAAATAACTCGTAGTGAAGCGAACGTGAAACCCCTCAAACAACAAATACACGGTACTTGCTAACCGAAACACACCTATAGTTACAACACTGTTCCTGGTGTCATAATATGATAAATCATATATATTAATACCATTGCAATTTTAGTTTGTAGTCATCCTTAAATTTCGGATGATGTTTGTACACACCGGGTATCCCGATATACGGAGTGATCCAGTCAGTGCGTAGCAATGCTAAGTCGCATACCTATTCATTTATTTAAATGTCAGCTTTTACATATTTTTAGGCTGATGACGATTAGACAACTGTTCAAATTTCACAAAACCAAAATATTGGAAAAGACCACACAGTGCTACATTGATCAAACGATTTTTTATGATATTATCGTGATATTGTCATATAAAAGACAATCATGACTTTCCACGCACATACATGTAGTACATGTTCGTTGTACTTATAGTGTGTACACAACTGAATAAAAAGTTTCAAATGAAAATATAGCTTTTTATATTACTTACAGGTGGCAAACGTGTGAACAATGTAGATATTGTATGATGTACAAATTATATTATAATTCAACTCTGATAACAAATAACTGTTTATTTGATTTAAAAACTAATTCTTCTGGTGTTGAATTGTGTATTAAACTTGTATGGTTTTGAAGCAGTTTGGACCTCTTTTTCAGCGTGCGTCTTGCGTTCGTGCCACAAAAAAAAATGGATACTTAGCCGTAATTCTAACTGTAGTGTGAGTTAAAGTTTCTATATAAATCTGAGCTGATTTACCATTGTTTTGAGATTAACCCCGGAACAAATTTCGCGCATGAATAAATACAGTCAACATCGAAAATCGACCTATTCTCCACGAAGGAGTTATTTCAGGAAGGTCAAGAAAAGTTTGAATAAATTGTTTGAGTGTTAAAATAGTGTTTCACTGGTTATTTTAACCGATGTTTAAATCCCCACCAACAAAATTAATTAACCTTTCATTCGGTAACTAAGCAGTCGGAAATATTTCTGACAATAACTTATGAGTACCTGTGTGTTACGTTGATCTGTTAGTGTACCTCAGGTCTTTGTGATTGAAAAATTACCAATATTTGATCAAACTTTATTTTTATAATTCACGAGATGTATATGTGTGTTTCACACTCATACCATTATCCGAACGAAATGACAATTTTTAAAACATTCCAATATACCTCCTCGTTGCTTTACAACCCATTCATATTAAAACAAACGTATCGTCGGTTTGTAAGCGTCATCCGTAGCACTTGCTACCGTCTCCGTAACATTTCCGTACATCTTGCGTATCGTTTGCGAAGCATTTCCATAGCATTTGCATCCACGGTGGAACAGCGAACGTGTGCGGGTCTGTATATATTCTCAAAAGTATTACTTCAGCAATCATATTGTTAAACTTATTCACATGCTACCTAAGTGTAAAGGGGTAAATATCCATACCCTAAGGCTTTGCGCCAAAAGGAATAATACTCACGGTTCCAGAAACTTGATCTAGATGAGACCCTGTTAATATGATAGGTGGTGTCCTATTCTGATCAGCTTTGTCATCTACAGCATATGTTCCGACAGAGCTAAGCCAGGATTCGATGCCTTCTGTTAATGAATACAGTCAAAAATGAGTTATATGATAGATATTATTGAGAATAATTCTCAGTCATATTTCATATCAAAATAATCGCTTAAAATAGTCGAAACGCATGGATGATATATTTCATTAACAAATGATATTCCAAGTAACAACCTATTTCCTTTTCTCCTTTCTCGGAGTCGACGCACATCGCCACGTCGAAAACGAGGATAAATACCATATCTCCAGACATGAAACAGTGATGGGAATTGTAAAATATCGTCTCCCCGCCGAAGTCGTAGAGGGTAATGAAACCCTTGACAGTGTCGTCATCATTGGTTTTCATTTCCTCGTGGTTGTCTAGTTCTCTACTCTCATGTTCATCTTTGTTTTCCGTTTCCTCGGCATCTTCCACGACCTCGTCCTCGTTTTCCGCGTAGTACCAGTACTCGTCGTCGTCATACTGATATAAAATCTCACCTACAAATTGTTGTTGTGCCTCAGATAAATCAAGATCAGATGTAGGGGAGATGCATATTCTTTCAATTGCCGTTGTATCATCTTCTGGGGAAAAAAAGAAAAATGGTGCAGATATAAAACTTTGATTATATGCAGGGACGGGATACTTTGATTACCTATCATTTAGTTATGGTCGAGTAGTAAATGAAGAGATAATGAAAGGGTAGTGTTACATTTGTAACGATCTTGTTAAACATAGACACGTATATAGGAATACGTATTTAAGCTGTTCTATACTAACCCCTTTATTTGTACTCTACAGCTTTGTAAACAAAATCTGGATATGATGGGGTAGATATGAATCTGTGCCAATTATGCACCTGTACTTGCGGTTCCTGCTGATGTATTTCTGTTATCCGGTTTGTCAGTTGTTTGTTGGGCACTGTAACGTTTGAATATCCTTCTTAAACGTTCTTTTCCTGTTTCCATTTCACCTCCCTCGCCAAGTTTTTGTCGAAAGCCTGTGTTTGGATCCCAGTCTAAATAGTTTGCAAGAAATTCTACAAGATTTGTTGATCCTGGACCATCAATTGGAAACTCTTCCCGTGACAACTGCTTTCGTAGGCATGTCTTTCCAGACTTTACATTTCCTATGAAGGTAACTGTGACGTTACAGGTTTGAACTAATTTCTCAGTGATTCCTTTCTTAACTTGATACTGTGCAAGTCGATCTGAAAATACAAATATGACATATGAATTAATAGTACAAATATATTCCAATACCTCTTCTTTCTCTTAACAAATATGTTAACTATATATGAGTGTTACTCTAGCAAAACTAACGACATATAACCTGCCTCTTGTACAATACTTAACCTCATGTTATAATAACTATAAACGAACCTAAATCAACTGACAACTAAATCATCCCCTCTACCTCTGTATCAGTGTATCTCCATGGACAGCCTCTTTAAAGATATCAACTAGTTAAAAAAAAACCAGATCTGATAAAAACATTTCAAAGCATCGGTAAAGCACAAAGTCATTATTTATAAACACAATTCACCAAATTCACTTTAGCTGGTAGCAATGTCCCCGGGGTGCTTTCAAAAACGTATTATACTTGAGAAATTATCACACCTATACATATCTGCAACTAAACTGTTTTTTTCTCGCTTATTCAATCTATACGATTATCGGTTATCCCCCAATCCTCAACTTTTTCTTATAATGAAATTTAACCTTTAACAAAATAAACCACTCAAAGTGTGATGACATCATAAGCTACAATACTGGTATTTGTAATTCTAACTTCTGAATGGTCGAAGTTGCTGAGCAATGAAATTGCTTTGCAATGTTGTTTTATATGCGAAATTATTATCTTTTAATCAAAAATCAATAAATATGTATCTGTTACATTTAGAGTTATGTGGTACATTCCGAAAAAAAAGTACGTGTATTTGTGTTAATAATTGTTGAACTCAAAAAATGTCCTGGGTATTTTTTTAGTATATATATATAGCCAGATCATAGTTAATGGTACATGCTGAATATCATATTTGTTTCACCAATATGGAGAAACATCAATATTTTTCAAAGATGCAAAGCAATACCAGTGAACATGAAACGATTAAGTGTTCATCTTATTGCATTTCAGATTGCAAACATACCACAGTGAGTTATAAATGTAGCAGCAAAGAGCGAAATTTAGTTGAGTGATCTTTAGCGGCACATTCTTATGACTTCAAGCTTGACGGCAAGGATGGGCGTCATTGTAAATTGACTTATCAACACAAATCTTCAGTTTCCAGCTATTTTTCGGTACGATTTGCTTGCAATAACATTACAAAATAACGTAGTTTTGTACATTGCTTGGTGTATGAAGCTAAGATGAACAAAAACAACCACTTATTCTAATGTAGCTAAGCTGCAGTTAGAATAGGAAATATGCGGCTCAAAATGCAGTATACAAACATATTCTTATCATAATCGATACTTGAACTGATACATGTATAAGTATAAATTTTAATCTATCTTGATAACATCTGATATTTCATTCGTAAACAAATATAATGTATGTTTTTAGTTGTATATAAAATAATGATACTTATTTCAAGTTCTCAATATAAAGACACCATAACTATTATGTAACTTTGAGGCATACTACAGTATTCAATAATTGCACACCGCGGTGTTTTATGCAAATACATATTTTACACCTTAAGTAAAAGTAAAAATATGTACCAAAATGCTGGATCACCTCCCGGTATCTACTTTGATTCGGATCATCGTCCAACTTTTCTCTTGCCACATCCATTGGTCGGCGTCCTTTGTAATTAACCTGCTGTATAGCGTCAGGACATTTTTCACATATGGACCTCATTATATTTTTCCATGGACGACCCTCTCTTGCCATGTAATGTAGCACATTGTATCCAAATAGATCCTGCACTGCCAATTCCTCGCCTGTCATCTCGTCGACCAAGTAGCTCGTCACTTGTTGATGATTATTAAATACGGTATGTATAATGGGTGTAAGACCGTCCTCATCTCTGATTCCTAAAGCCGACCTATTTCGTACGAGGACTTGCACTGTATTCAGGTCCCCACAACTTGCTGCATGGTGAAGAGGTAAGATTGCAGACATGATCGACGATGTCTGTAACACAATTCAAGAAACAACACAAATATATCGCTAGGACAACATGTGAGGATTTTTTAGCATATCACATAACGACGAAGTTTATTTCTCTACGATATCTTGATGACAACTATGAACGTTGGATAAAGTGTTCATCATCTCTATGATGTAATTTAGTTCGATAGCAGTCGATATCTATCACAGAGGTCCTGATATTCGGAACAATCTATTGCTAAAGACGTTAATTCAAGTTCTCGTCGTGAAAGATATGCGACAAGCAATTGCAGCTACTTGTCAGGAATTTTAATTAACTGTACCCTGACTGTAGTCGAATAGACATTTCTCATGTTAAAGCAGGCTTAGCACGGAGACAGAGACGGACACTGAAAGTAGTAGATTCAGGGAACATCTCAAAATTATTTTTCATTTTATCTGTATTATGAATTCCTGTCCCGCTGCTTGCGACAAAACATTTCAGATTTATCTTTTTGTGTTCCTAACCGACATTTAAACCCGCAGATTTTCAAACAAATTGATAAACTTCTCTAGGTTGACGACACCTTACTGGGTTTTTTTTAAGTTTGTTTTTGTTTGCTTTACAGTTTATACTTAAAAGCCTAAGTGCATGCTAAAGTTGATTGCAGTAGTATATAAATCCGCAAAGTAACTCCCCTGGAATTATCCCTATGAATGATACCCCCACACACCACACACACCCCGATACTGAAATATTTTGGCTGTTTTGCATGGGGAAAAAAACCCTGAAACCTGTCGATTTCGAACGAAGTGAAAAATAGCAGAAAATTTAATAGATTTCTAATTTCTTCTTTTGATATTTTTCAGGAGAATACCCATGGACATACTTAAATACAAAAAAATATTCCTTTGATGGCTAACTGGTGTAGCTTATCGATTGTTAAAACAGATGATTGAACGATAACGGTCGCTTCCACAGGGACCTGGTAATTTATAACGTCTTTACTTGGACCTAAACTAAGGTGTTTAGAGTAAGTTTACATGCTTGAGTTTTTTTGGCATTTTACCGAAAATGAATCTAACCCCTCCCTCCCAACAACCATGTAACATTACTCTTAACACATTAGTTTAGGTCCAAGTATAGCTGTTATAAATGATCAGGTCCCTGCGGTTGTTACATCGCGATCATGTTATTGTTGAGAAGGAACATACGAAAATGCAAAGGAATGATTAGATAAATACATGTGGAGCAAGTCCCTTCAGCTTACGCTATTGCATCTGTATTAATAGACATCGTGTCAGCGTTAAACATTTATTTCATATTATGGAAATATCGTGTCATCAGAAGTTTGTGGATGGGAAATCTATTCTACAAATGTATAAATGAGATCACTGTCAATCTGGTAAAATATCAACTTCTTCATACTGACATTTCTGGTCCGGGGAATTTTAACTCATTCGGCGTCAGAAAAATACATCAGAGGTTTCAGGTGAGATCCTTAGCGGAAACATTGACATATCAATTACCACGGTTGCATACTTGCCTCATTGATCCACGAAACAGACTATAACGAATGTGGTAACCAGACACATAATGTTGTATCAGGCGTTGCGCAAATATGTTGTAAACGTTTTTCCACATGATGACCATCATGTTACCTGTTCGCTATACATGTAGTCACGTACATGTGCGTGTACACACTCTGACATACTATATACATTACATTCAGTATGTGCTTGTCTAGGTCTATGTCTTGCCTGTAAACTTAATTGCGTAATCTACAAAGCACAACCTAATGTAAAACGTCTATGTGCGACTCATGTGTAATATTGCTAACGTCCATGTCATTTTCAAATTGTACACATATAAACAAGCTTTTTGAAAATCTGATTAAATGACATTACTATCCAAATGAGCAGTTCGTTTTATTGTTGGTTGGACTAGGATTGGCAGATTTTTTATTATAAAGTAAAACATGTAGTTAAGTAATGTCCAATTGTTACAACGTCACCGTAAACTTTGAACGTGTAATTGTCATTTATATCGTAAACAGTATGCCGCACATTGTAATATATCATATGCTTACCTGAGAGTCAAGCGAATATGGATCGTTGCATTCTCTAAAAACAGAGAACATTTACATTATCCAAATACACATACTCCTCACATACTAGTGTTGTCGATATTTAAGATCCTGAGATATAAAACTTTCTGAATCAAAGGAATGATACGATTGGACATAAACAGAGGCAGTATCAGAAGCAGGTGAGCAGTGTTGATACATCTGTGTTGTCAGTGGATCGGTCTGACCCTTGAACTGTCGTACTTATAGCTCATCCATTGTACATATACTCGTGTTTATAAACATTGTTCATTACATGTGCAGAGCTGGAATATGTTTCAGATATTATTTTCTTGCAATTTTATTTATAATCTAGCTTTGTTTGTTTGTTTGTTTGATTTTGTTTAACGTCCTATTGACAGCTAAGGTCATTTAAGGACGGCCTCCCCTGTGTGCAAGATGCATGCGTGTAGTGTATGTGTGTGTATTTTGGGAGGCTGCGATATGTTCGTGTTCGTCTCCTTGTGATAGCGCGGAGCTGATGCCGACTNCACCCGGTCACATTATACTGACAACGGGCGAACCAGTCGTCCCACTCCTAATTTGCTGAGCGTTAAGCAGGAGTAGAAACTACCATTTTTAAAGACTTTGGTATGTCTCGGCCAGGGGACAGAACCCAAAGCCTTCCTCACAGGGGCGAACGCTCAACAAATGGCCAAAAGTGAGGCATTGTCAAGGGAGACATTAGGAAGAAGAAAGTTATTTAGAAAGGAGAGAAGAGATACGGTCCCAAATTTAGTCGCCTCTTACGATCATGCAATTGGGGGCAGCAGGTACAATTCTTACGCCCTACCTGCTACTGTAATATAATCAGTATATCCACACAATGTTTGAGGAGAGTAGATCAACAAAACATACCTTTACTTTTGCTAATGTGTACAGAACAATATGTGTGAGTTCAAAAATTTCAAACACTCTGAATCTTGATATTAGTGAAGTGTGTATTTTGGCAAACAATATAGCAAAAAAATGTACATATACTCGTGTTTATACACATTGTTCATTACCTGTGCAGAGCTGGAACATGTTTCATATATTATTGTCTTGTAAATTTATTTATAATCTAGCTACTGTAATATAATCAGTATATCAACACACTGTTTTAGGAGAGTAGATCAACAAAACATACCTTTGCTTTTACTAATGTGAACAGAATAATATGTTTGAGTTAAAAGTTTCAAACACTCTGAAACTTGATATTAGTGAAGTGTGCATTTTTGTAAACAATATAGCATAAAATTGTATATATACTCGTGTTTATAAATATATTGTTCATTACCTGTGCAGAGCTGGAACATGTTTCAGGTATCATTGTATTTGTTTTTTTTATTATTTATAATCTACTGTAATATATTATAAAGTATCTCCACACACTATTTGAGGAGAGTAGATAAAAAAACCCATACCTTTGCTTTTGCTAATGTGTACAGAATAATATGTTTGAGTTATTATTTTAAAAACATTCTGAAATTTGAGTGTGGTAAAAAATACAATGACACCTTGATTAGCATAGGTATAAAGAACATTACGATCAGTGGGTGACATACATTTTTTTTTTATTATTTTTTAATGTTTTGATTTTTTATTAAATTCAAAATGTTTATAACATAAACATCTTTATAAATATACAAACAATGTGCATGGGGGTCTATAATCGCCTTTAAATAATGTACATACTGTTCAAAATATTCTATCAAGTATCAGTAATCGTCATACATATATATTAACAAATAAGTAAAAATTCACATTTTTTTATATACAAAAATAAACTTCCGGATATTCTTGTTCTATTCTAATTATTATTGTATAATATTATAGTGTTTGATTTCCGGTTAGAGTCACGATGGTGAACAGACTTCGCACAAACGTTATTATATTATATTATATTTACCATATAACGTAATTGAGATTAATTAATCTATGATATGAAGCGAAAGGTATATGGGAGTACATACACTTGTGGTTATGGAGATGGCCAAACTAGTCTTTTCTTGTGTAATTAAGTTGTTTTCAAATCCCAATTTTAGTATGACTTTGTATTTAATCTATTTGCCTTTCTTCCTTCTCTTTCTATGTCTTACCCTTCTTCTATTTTCTATATCAGCTGCCAGACTAGTTGTTCCAGTCAGTAGGCCCTGCACGTGTCCAGGTTAATGGGAGGTATTATAATAGTATCAGCAAATTGTCAGGGATTGGGGATAAAACAAAGAGAAAGGATTTTTTTTTCATATTTAAGGTGTAAAGATTTTAATATTTTTTGTATACCGGATACTCATTTTACTCCAGAAATTGAAGATATAATTAGGACAGAGTGGGGATATGAGTGTTACTTTAACTCTCTGAGGTCAAATTCTAGGTGGGTTGCAATATTATGTAATACTAATTTTGAGATAAAGGTTTTAAAAGTTAAAAAGCATTTGACTGGGAATTTCATAGCATTAGATTTAGAAATAGAAGGGAAACATATTACACTTATAAAAATCTATGGGCCAAATTCAGATACTCCATCTTTTTATGACAACATAGTAGAATCAATAGATGCTTTAAAAATGAATGTTTTATAATATAAGGAGATTTTAACTTAGTATTAAACCCTGAAATTGATTATGATAAAAGCGATAAAAATATCAATAACCCAAAAGCTACAGAAAATATCTTACAAATAATTGAATAGTTAGGAATGGTTGATGTTTATAGAGAACAGTATCCTGATAATAAAAGATATACATGGAGAAGAGGTTATCCAATTAAGCAAGCCCGGTTAGATTTTTTTCTCATTTCTGAAAACTTGTTACCTAGTGTAAATAAAACTAATATTGAGCCAGGATACAGATCTGACCATGCTTTTCCATTTATTATATTAAAAGTTAACGAATTTTTAGAAGGGGAAAGGACTATAGAAGTTTATCAATTTG